TTCCATCAAAAGCCATTTCTTCTTTTAATCCTTTTTTTTTTTTAAACTAAAAGCTTTTATAAAACCAGTCTTAGAGCTGATATTTCCTTTTGCCATGATGCCTCAAAAAACGTGTCTTGGCTTGCCAGTTGGTATGTCAATATATCTATCAATCATAGCAAACTATACTCTCATAATTTTCTTCCATCCTACTATCATATTTGGACCCAGATATTTTTCTAGTAAAGATTATTTTTATTCCATATTAAAACAGTATTTAGTGCAACCAAGATAACATTTAGGTTCTTAAAGTTTTATCACAGTAGATGAATAATGAAAATAATTGGAAATTCTCCTGCTTTTAAACACAGAAATGGTTGTCTCAGCATAGCCCCAGCTTATTAAAAGGTATTAAAAACAACCAAAACAAACCTGAAAAAAGCTAAAAATAACCCCAAAGCAACAAACCACAAACCCAAAGAATTTTTAAAAAGCCCTGAGACTGATTCTTTTACGAGCAAAGACCATGTCTGAAAAACATCAATCCAACTACAAGACTTCTGAAATTGCATTGTAGTAACAAGACAGAGGACTCTCTGGGCAGCTTTAGGATAGCTGGTATTTTTAGTTCACTGCTGTACCTCTGTTTTAGAAATTAGCATCAGGAGCCCAGAAAGAGGACAGATATTTTGTATCCTGGGTATATTTTTCAATCCCAACCTCATTATACCAACTACTGAAAAAAAAAAAGGAAAAGTACCTCACTTTCTGTGACTTGAGTTGACAAGAGAAGACGAAGAGCTCCAAATGTTAAAAGAACTGGTGTAACTGTTGATGCTAATAAGCATCAATAATTAGAAATGAAAATACTTGTACTTCATCATAGTTTAGTTTGACTTCCAAGTTTGTTTTTATTTTTATTTAGACATTTAAACATTAAGGTTTGACTCCAGGATAGCTCTACCCATACAGATACCTTGCTCTAACCAAGCAAGTTTAAACACACAGGCACTTTTACAATGTTTTCTTATTCCAAATTCAAGGGTTTTTATGTTTTATGGACAACTGGAAAAAAATAATGTAAATGGCAAGAAGCAAGACAAAAATTAACAAGTCTAATAGGAACAACCTTAAACATACACACACAAAAACCAAAACCCCTGCAACAAAATCAAAAAGCCAAAAAAACAAACAAACAAACAAAAACCAACCTAAAACCCGCTGTGCTGCAATATGAATTACAGTCAAGCCCAGATACTAAGAAGAGACAAAGTAGATCAAGTTCCCTAATGAATTTGCACATGGTTTAAAACACAAGGATATTCTAATAACCTGTCTTACCGAAACCAGCCAAGTCCAATACTGCAACTGCTCAAGGCACAAGACTCACAGTTAAGTTTGCAGAAATTTAATTTGTGGGGCAGCTGCAGAATCCAGCGCTACTAGTTTGGCAGATCTGAGACAACTTCTACAATGCAGGAAAAGCCTGAACTGCTGCTTTTACGGACGCTGAGAAAATATCAGCCCTGACTCAAAATGTACCCCACCCTTGTTAAAGGCAACAAATTGATTTGAGCTCAACTCTTGGCTTCCACTACACTTCTGCCTAAATAAACTTCAATTTGAAACGCTTAGTTGGTCACCAATGAAAAGCCTAAGGCTACAACTTGCTGCAAGAGGCCATTTTCCCTTGGACACATCTGTCCTATTTTCTAAACTGAAGTGGAGCTTCAGAAAGTTTCTGATGCTCAGAACTATTCACAGGGCCACACAAACAGGCAACTGTATATGCAGATTTCAGAAGCAGAGCTTTGCAAGGAAAGCACTCTATAAACAGTAAAATGCCACTGTTCTCAATTAAAGACACATTTTATTGTAAGTGAATGCTGACTTTTTTTCCTTTTTAAAGAATCCTTGGAGAGGTACTCAATACAATTATGTAATGCTTACAACAGGCTACTTTTCCTGGCTAAGCAAGGACATTCCCTCAGAAAAATAAAACCATGCATTTTAAATTAATAAAGAGTAACAGAAATCAGCAGAATATATTTTTACCCTTGGAAAGCATTATATTCTGCAGTTCCAGAAGAAGGGAGAAAAAATAACAGACATTAAATGGAAGAAAGAATAATTCAAGATTTAATACAAATTTCTCTCCATAGCACATCAACAATAACAAAAAAATGACCAGACCTTTTCTGATGTTCTGTTGCTAGACTTCCTTCCTTCTAGCATGTCAAATGTATTAGCTATTTTGAAATCATACCCTTAATTCTTTCTAGATAATCTTTACACCAGAGTTTTGTCACAGCTCTGTCCACATCATTTTTCCCTTCATCCACTTCCCCATGACTTTTTAAGCACTCCTTTCATATTTGTTTTCCATTTTTCTCTTGCTTTTGCCTTTTATTTCACTCACTCAGCAGTCCAAATATATCGATTAGCAACAGACACACTGGATCTGCAAAGCCCTCCTACTCATAGCAAAGAGGGTGCACAAGCAAGCTCATTACACTGGACTTCAAGACCAGACTTTTGGCATCTTCAGGGATCTGCTTAGTGAAGTACCATGGGATAAAGCCCTGGAGGGAACAGGTGCCCAAGAAAGTTAGTTAATATTCTAGGACCACCTCCTCCAAGCGCAGGAGCAAAACATCCCAACAAAGAAGTAGTCAGTCAAAAACACTGTGAGGCCTGCATAGATGTACAAGGAGCTCCTGGACAAACTCAAGCAAAAAAGAGGAAGCCTACAGAGGGTGCAAGCAAGGACTGGTAGCATAGGAGGAATACAGAAAAATTGTCCGAGCTGCCACAGATTGGATTGGGAAAGCTCAAGACTCAAAAAATTTAAACTGGTCAGGGATGTCAAGGGCAACAAGAAAAGGTTCTATAGTTACACCAGTGATAAAAGAATAGTAGAGAATATGAGCCCTCTCTAGAAGAAAGTGGGAGACCTGGTTACCCCAAACATGGAGAAGGCTGAGATACTCAATGTTTTTACCTCAGTCTTCACTGACAAGTTCTCCACCTGAGTCCCAGAAGACAAAGGTGGGGAATTGGGAGAATGGCCCACAGAAGAAGATCAGTTTCAAGACTGTCTAAGGAACCTGCAGGTGCACCTGATGCAGTGTATCCACAGGTCCTAAGGGAACTGGTGGAAGAAGTGGCTATGCCACTATCCGTTGCATTTGAGAACTGTGGAAGTTCCCACCAACTTGAAAAGAGAAAACAAAACCCTCATTTTCAAAAAGAGAAAAAAAGAAGACACAGGGCCAGTCTCACCTTGGTGCCTTAGCAAGATCATGGTGCAGCTTCTCCTGGAAACTGCGAGAAGGCACATGAAAAATAAAGAGGTAATCTGTAAGAGTTAACACAACTTCACTAAGGCCAAACCATTCCTGGCAAATTTGTTGGCTTTTTACAATGAGGTTAAAGTGCTGGTGCATAAGGGAACAGCAACTGGCATAGTGTACCTGGACTCATGCAAAACATTTGACACTATCTCATTAAGTATTTGTTTTTAAATCAGAACAATATATACTTGACAGATGGCCACACAGTGGATAAACAGCTGACTGGATGGTTGCACTCGAACAGCTGTGGTCAACAGCTGGATATCCAAGGGGAGACCAGTGATCTGGAGCTCCTTAGGGATCAATACTGGGACCAGCACTGTTCAACAACCTGGGTGATATGGACAGTGGGATGGAGAGCACCTTCAGCCAGTCTGCCCACTACACCAAGGTCTGTAGTGGGATTGACATGCTGCAGGGAAGGGACAGCAGCCACAGGGACTTTTATGTACCTGAGAAAGTGGGCCCACGCAAACCTCATGAATTTCAACAAGGCCAAGAACAAGGTCCTGCACCTGGGTTGGAACAAACCTTGGTACCAATGCAGGCTTAGTAGAGAATGGATTGAGAGCAGCTCTGAGGAGAAAGATTTGGAGGTGCTGAGAAGCTCAACATGACTCAGCAATGTGCACTTACAGCCCTGAAAGCCAAACACATCCTGAACGGCATCAAAAGCAAAATTGGCCAGCCGGACGAGGGAGGGGATTCTGCTCCTCTGCTCTGGTGAGGCCCCACATGGAGCACTGCATCCAACTCTGCAGACCCCAGAATAAGAAGGATGTAGACCTGTATTAGCAAGTCCAGAGGAGGATAATAAGACTGATCAGAGAGATAATCTGTCCTATGAGAGAAGGCTGACAGAGCTGGGGCTGTTCAGCCTGGAGAAGACAAGGCTCTTGGGAGACCGTACTGCAGCCTTCCAGTACCTAAGGAGGCCTGAAAGAGAGCTAAAGAGGGACTTTTTACACAGTCATGTAGTGACTTGATAAACAGTAATGGCTTCAAACTGAAAGACAACAGGTAGCAGAAAGTCTTCACTATGAGAATGGTGAGGCACTGGAAAAGGCTACCCAGAAGCTGTGGACAGCTCATCCCTGGAAGTGTTCAAGATCAGGCTAGATGGGGCTTTGAACAACCTGGTTTCGTGGAAGGTGTCCTTGTCCATGGTAGGTCCCTTCTAACCTAAACCATCCTCTTATTATATATTTACCAATTCTTGCTGCTTCTCTTACCTGCACACCTGGCTGCCCAAAAAGGTGTAAAGGAACAACTTGAGTATTTAATTCTATCAAAACTTATGCGAGTTTTGCACAGATGGTTCCCAAGTTTATTTTAAAGGAAAGAAACTAATCTTCATCTACAAATCTGAAACAATCATGTAGATGTTTTGAGTAGCAAAAGTAAATAATAAAAGTTACTAAAAAATGTACTGTTGTAAAGCTGCAGTCCTACATTTTGATGGGCTGTAAATCTGTTGATGAAAATAGTAAGAAAAAGAGTAAATCTTTGGGAGATGATTAAGAAAAATTAAATTTTACACTATTTTATTGAATTTGCAGAAGCCTAGTTTGAATATTGGAGAAAGAACATACTGCTCCTGTGCTAAACACAGGTTCAGCAGCTTTGACTTTCCCACATCAACCCAGTAAAACGTTTAGTGCTACCTACCTGAATCATCAGCTAATCTGCTGATTCTCTCCAACACAGCAATACAATCTCTCTCATCATCACTGACTTCCTTCAAAGTGTCCAGCAAACTTCGAGCCACCATTTGCCTAGTTTACAAGAAAGATTAAAAATCAGAATTATTTGTATCCAGAAATACAGCTAAATCAAAAAGTTGTGAATCATAGAAGTTTCTTACACCAAACAGAATTTCATATATACTCACTTTAAATTTAATTTATAAATTATAGTAAATTTAGTTAGTCCTGCTTTGGGAATTCTTACTTCTGATACCTGGCATAATCTTAAAGAATTTTAAGCCTTAACATTAAAAGTATCCCTTTCACTTACAAGGATAAGAGAAATCAGCCACCAAGACCAGAAATAGTAATCATCTACTAAGTGGGCAAACATAAGCTGAATGTTAGGAAGTCAGAATCATCCTTCCATCCTCATCTATGAAGTCCCTAACTTGCTCCATACAACACAAAGTAACACTAGTTAAAATATTTTTAAACAGAACTCTGAATTTATTTCACAAAAGCATGAACACTCAAGCCAAACATTTTCATACCAATGGTGTTATAATTGACATTTAAACCAATGGTGATTGACATCTGGAAGTCAAACTTCATTTGAATGCTATGGGTATGTACTGTGAGGGGTGGGTACACACTGTGACAATAACACATACTACCCAACCCATGTGTACCTGAGACATACGTTAAGCAAAGTAGAAACATTAAGAAAATATTAAATAAGTCTATCAACTCAGTTACTACTTCGAATGCGTAAGAAAATTTTCTATGGATTAATTTATGAGTGACAAGATATACTCCGATTTGGGATTTTGTCCTCTGAGGTTGTCACAGGCTATGCTACAAAGTCATACTCATCAGGTACCTAGATAGCCCTAAATGCAGCTGGGAATGTGTGGCAATCAACCTTTCTCCTCAAAAACAGCCTGCAATGGCATAACTCTTCTCTCACCCTACTGGATAACATGGGTTACATGTCAGTTCAGAGAGCTAGCAGAATTATCCCTGGATAATGGAATGGGAATGGGCCAAGGAACAGCATCCAAGACACCCATAGATCTGGTAATGCCTTGGAACAACTCAACTAAACACTGAAGTGTCAAGTGCCAAGTATTTCCAGAACTGAAGGACAGAAACACTCCTAGGATATAGCCTAGGTAGAAGCACTGTTGACAAACAGCAGTACCATAGACAAGAGCAGATGCATACCTAAAGTTTATTACGTTTACTACAAGCAGTGAACGTAAGCAGTGGTCAACAACTGATAAGGGAACAGATGGTTACATTCCTAGTGCACAAGGGAAGCTCAAGAACTTCACAATTCTATGCAGAGAAAGGCAGGAGGTTTCCATGAATTCCCAAAGCTAAGCACACATTTTTTTTTCTCCTACTGAAAATCAGTAATTTAAATATTTCATACTGGCCACTTGCAGAACTATTTTAAATTAAACTGTTTTGACATACAGATGTATAAAATCTTCTAAAAAAACAAACTGAAGAAGCCATTTGCCTTTAATGAATCCCTCACTCTTTTCAACTCGACAAAAGTACATGTCTTAGCAGAGATTGTGATATGCAGTTAAAATACAGCCATAAAAGCCCTAATGAAGGGAAACAGACTGCATGACACACTAACCTAGAAGCAGAGTTGACTTGGTCTTTTTAAAGAGCTGGACACCTCTGAAAAGAGAAGAGGAACAGATGAAGCAATTTCATAAACCAGCCTATGTGGACACGTGTCTCCTACATATTAAATGTAGTCTTGGAAAGTGAGAGATAAATCAACTAACCCACTGAGTCTCAGCAAGTAAGGAAGCACAGCAAACAGCACTAGAACCCATCTAATAAAAGCTCAAAATCCCATTTGACTCCTGGGGACTATGGAATGGCTCTCTACTATGCTGGGAATTTTGAGAAGACTCTCATTTCCTCATAGAGCTGGACAGTAGTGGCTGAATCTCACAGTGTCTTCACTAGTTCCTGTAGGTTGGACATGTGGCTATGCAGATGGCCATAAACCTGCTCAAGATGAGGAGATGAAAACAGAAATCCTAACCTGAAGTAGACTTGACCTATCTATTAAACCCTTTCAACTTCTGTACACTAAATATAAGATGGCCCCTACCTGCATCCCAACGGCATTTCCCTCTTTAGCTTGTAAAGGAATCAATGGGTCTACTTCACAATTAGCAAATTTTGGTAAAAAGCAAAACAGTGAAGTGCACCAGAGTAAGATAAACTCATGTTAGCAAACCTAACTGGATAGACAGAGTAAATACAAAACTCACTCCATTTATTCATCCATCCATCCATGGTTCTGGGAGATGATGGCCACTCATGTTCTCCAAACATTATAGCCTGTGATCTAGTTCTGCCAAGGTGTGCTTGGTCTATGACTGTCACCTAAGCAGCTATGCATCTATTTATCCATTAAACAGTTCACACACCAAAGAAAGGCCAGAGGTCAAAGGCTGCAATGTAGCATGCAGTAAAACACTTCTAATATTATGTGCAGAAGTGGAGAATATTTAGCAAAATTCAAAATTTCATGAGCCTGTCCAACATTAGGAAAAACTGATAGGATACCTTGTAGGTAGATTTAACTGCAATTACCAGCAGGACAAAATGGGAATGGATTACAAACACCCTGCCTTTATGTTCACATGCAGGTGAAAGGTATTTTGAAGACTGTACACACAGACATAATATAAAATGTGACAATATACTCTGAGAAGAACTACAAATATCTTTGTTTTGCTTATTCAAACTCCTTTGAACATTATTAGGCCTTTAGGAAATTTCTACTTTAGAATTTAAATTACTTCATCTGCACAAGGAGCACATTTAGATAATAACCATATGTTTAAAAAACTGAAGCAATCCCAGAGAAAAATAAAAGGAAAAAATATACTTTTTTTTTGCCCATTTTTTCAGAACTTGTAAATCAAAATTTCACAGAATCACAGAATATGCTGAGTTGGAAGGGATCCATAAGCCCTGAACAAGACATCACAAGAGTCACAGCACATGCCTGAGAGTAGCAATGAGATTTTGTGTTTAAATTAATACTGGCAGTAGTAACTGAGCTTAGCAGTGTTTTCCCCAAACAAGCTCAGAGAATACACAGAATAAACTCTCAATATCAAAATCAACATCTTTGTACCCTTAAGAAGAAAGGGTAAACATGCAGAGGTACATTCAAGCATTGTTGAAGCAATTACGACTTTTCTTAGTGCTTTGGGATAGTTCTGTCCTTTGTTACTTCACCTTAAATCATTTTAACATACATATAAAAGGTAAAATTTCTCAAGCCATATTGTTATATTTAAGTAATTTATTTGGTATGTGTAGACCTGCTAATTTATGTGCAAAAAAAAACCCTTTTTGAAGTTTGTTTCATTTTTTACTACATTTTAATTTTTGACATCCAGTAGGATCAGAAACACTGAGACAGAAACAAACTAAAGTTAGAGATCAGGAGAAATAACCTAATTTATATTAAAATGATGAGAAATGACCGTATCAGAACCAAGCCAGTATAGTTTCACCTGCATGTCTTCAGATGAGTTTAGCATTTCCTTACTGTCAGTACTCAAATACCCAAAAAGAAACTACACTGGGCTACATTACAGAGACAGAAGGCAAAAGAAAAACAACTGCAGCTGTGGACAATCAAATACACAACTAACTTTAATCTGACCCTACCTAAATGACAATAAGGCAAGGTAGTTTCGACATCCCCCAAAACTGTTTTAGAGAGATTTTTCATATACATTACAGCAGGGATCCTGTAATTACAGCATTCCTGTTTTAGTGGGGGTACTTCATGCATGCAAGTCCCAGTTTTGAAATACACAGTTAAATGAAGTTCCTGTGAAAGTGTTACAAGCTGTGAGTACACACACATGCTTAATCCTTCTTTGAGATCCAATATATCCTCACTTACTGCAGTTCTATGAGAATTTTGACTGTTGCCAAAAATTTCTTTTGAAGGACATCAAGCATTCTCCCAAGGGAAAAGCAAAAATGTACTTCAAAACACAAAGAAGTCTGGTGAGTGGATAGCTTCAAATAATCTACATCGATATGCAGATACAGTCTTGATAGCCAAGACTGACCATACTCATGAAGCAGAGTTTCCTGCAAAGATGTGCTTTGGTCTGAAGAGAAAAAGGAGCAATAATTCCTCACAGGCTTATGAAAATGAAGGATTTGTGTTCAGGAACTGCCTCACTATTCAAATAGATTTATAGGTGAGTGCTCTACACTTCTGAGCCTTCTTAATGAGGAATGGAAGCAAGTTCATAGCAATAAGGATTAGAAAAACCCACAAGGGATTTTAACACAAAAAAAAGAGACAACAAAAGCTATGCTCCAAACTGCACCAGCAACTAGCAACTGGTTTTTAAAGCAAGCAGCAAAAGGGAATCAGCATCCTTGTATGTATGCACACACACCAGTGCTACCAGACACAAGACCCTGTGTTTTAGGGTGAAGGCTTTGGCTTTCTGCTCAACGTCTACTCTTGCTCAGTGTGATGTTGGATTATTAAGACATTTGCTAGAGATGCTTCTCAAATCTGGTCTGGAGGCTGCCTCTTCAATAATCATACCATAGCCAGACTCCCACTTGCCTTATTTTACAGACAAACAGGGATAATTTATTGTAATATTTGTCAGGTTCCCCTCCATTCTTGGCAACATCTGTGGTGCTTACGAGCAACACCTAAATCAGTAAAAATGTAAACTATAACATACCAAAAGTTGTCACAAAGCAACTCCTTCCACCACTTGGGAAGCTGTTAAAGGTTTTCCCACTTCTCTCTTTTTCAGTTAATCCTTACATATTTAGACAAAGAAGACATTCCTACTTCCAAGCCTCATCTCCTGAAATTTTTAAAGACAGGCGTAGACCCATCTCCATCTTAGAAGAAGTGGCTGAGAAATCATGAGTGCTCAAGAAATCCACTTAAAGGAGACTAGACTTTTGCAGCAGTTGTTAAAATCCCTTCATTTTAATCATTTAATGCAATCACAAACTGCAAATATGCTGCACAGGTAGATGATTAACCAGATAGAAAAGGATAATAAAACCAAATGCAAACAGAATACCTAAAATGAAATTTAAAGATTAAAAACTGCCTTACTAAAAGCAAATTCATCCAATTAAAGGGGGAAAAAAAATCTTACCCTATTTACCTGGATTAAATGATTATGTTTCAAGAATCTGTAATGTGTAACATGAAGCTTCTACAGAAATGCAGGTGCCAGGTCACAGAAACAACTGAAACATTATTAACTCAATCATAGTATTTTAGAACTTTTAAACTACTCGTTAGTAATTGGATGTGCTGATACCATACTAAGACATAGGAATAAACAAATGTAATTTAATTAATCTTTTTCCTATTAAATGCTCCGGTTCCTCTGCTTAGCAGAAATGCCTCCTATTATTCTGAGACTGACTAATGCTGAATCATCATAAAGTGACTGCAGTAGTCACTAATCATTTATTCTAAGTGCTACTCAATTATACCACTAATAATTATCATTTGCTATTTCCTATATTTTCTTATGCCACATAATACAATAGGCCTACAAAGACAGCTAGGATTAAAAAAACATGTTTGTACCAGCAAAAATAATCCAACAAGCAAACGCAGGAAAAACTACAGTTACCCTGACCACCCTCCCCTGCAGGAAAGCACAGGACACATAAAGCTGGACAGAACAATTAAAAGGATTTCCAGTTTAGGCATGTCCATATCCAATGCAATCCATACTGAGAAATAGGACACAGATTTTTCTTTGGTGGGCAAAGAAAATATTAGGACCAGCATTCTTAGTTAAAATTCAAGACAAACAACTTGAGTTTCTGAGTTTGTTCTCCTCCATAATGGCTTTTATTATATAATTGTCACCTGGAGCCCTGAAAGCTCCTCTTCCCTCCCTCCCCATGAAAAGTCAAACCATGCAGAAATTCTCTCCTGATAGTGTAAGTGCCAATTCCATCTTAAATTGTAAAATACAGCAAATTTTGGATTTTAGGAAAAAACAAAATTTGAAAATAAAGTGTATTTCAGAACTCATCTATGCATACATGTTTATGCAGGTTAGAAGAAGAGGAAACCATTCTGCAATTTTCAGCTTTGATTCAATGGTATGTTCACACATGTAGTGTGGAATTTTAAGTACAGTTCACGTGACTGAAGATAAGAACACAGGGCTAAATCCCTTCCGAACCCAGGCCATGAACAACAAAACAGAGGCTATCCTATTGGGTGGCTGATCACAGACTTTGCTTCTGCATATTACTGTATTAAGAATTCAACATTAAAGCCAACACACTTTATTAAAAGCTTGAAGCCCAAACTAAACCATGTTCAAATAAAATACCAGAAAATCTCGATGTTAACATATTTTATACATTTCTGTGATCCTGTTACTGTTTAAAGTTCCAATTAAAATAAACTATGGGTTTGAATTTCTCTATTCAAGAGCAGAGCATCTGAGTCTAAGGGGATGAGGGGGATGTGTGCTGGTCTGAAGTGTGCAACAATACCTGCTTTTAAATGAAACAACCACCTCGGTGGCACTACAGAAATAAAAAGGGGAAACTGTAGAACACAGTATTAACTGGGCAAGTTCACTTTCAATAACCAGAAGTAGCAATACTCAAAATGTAAACTACAGAGAAGACTGATTCTCAAGTTAAGTTCTTGGGTTTCTCTTGGCTGCTTATAGTACTCTTCTGACTGTTCATGTAGTATTTTATTAAACTTCCTTTTACACAAAGTTATGGATGGAGTTTACTATCACCTTACAGTCCTGTACCAATGGGAATATTAGCACCTGCAAAAAACCCTAAACGATTGCTCCAATTAATGAAGTTCAAGGAGTCAACTATAGTTGTTTAAAAAGTCAACTAATGTTTTTCTGTTATTATTAATATTTTGCTCTCTCTAAGTAGGAGCTGTATGAGCACACAGAAGGAGGGGTGGAAACTGAAGTTTCGTTGAGGTGTTGGATTTTTTGAAATTATTTGTATTCCATGCAAATTAACTTCTGTCAGATTCAATCAGATGAACAGTTTGCATACCATTAGACAGAGAGGACATTTAAAAAGCCTACCTGTTAAATATGTTCTCACTTGCAGCGTACTTGTCCAATCTTCCCAAAGGCGTCAACATCTCATCTTGTGAGACAAAGTCCAGGGCTGAAGGTATAATAATCACATCAGACTCTGAGCTGTAGTCATCCACACCAACTATCAGAGACATCAGAAATATTCCTTATAATCACAGTAGTTTGACACTAAAATGATGTCTGTTGTTGGTCTGAAATATAGAAGCCTAGGCAAGGTCCCATTGACAACATATTTAGTAACTGCATCACATTGTTCCCACCAACTTCCCCAGCCCCCATAAAGTATTTTCTATACAAGTGTGAGTGATGATGTATAAATGGATTTTGAGTCATCTGCTCTAAGTTCCCAAGTAAGATTCATCACTAAATTTCCTGAGCATTTTTAAACCTTATATTTTTCTCAAGCAAATTACTCTTACCTAATTGTAAAGTCAGCTTTTTGAAGATACATACTCAAATCATAGCTGACGGTAGCCCAGAGTTTATACAACATGATCTAACAGACCAAAAAGACTTTGTTCTAAAACAGAGAAATCTAAACTAAGCTACATCTGACTATGAAATAAAATGGGTACAATTCACCTACTGCATATTTATTAACCAGCAAATCATCAGGGAACTTCATATACAGACCCCTTGATCAACATGGAATCAAAGAAGTGGAAAGAATTGGTCCAATACTGTTCTGCAGAGCTGCTTAGGATTTGAATTACCACCTTTTTAGTTTTCTTATGTCCTCAAAACTGCTCTAAAACTAAATCCCATAGCAAACACACACTTTTGGCTGCAAATGAGATCACCTTTTGGTAAGGTCACCTCCATTAGTCCTGAAAACACAACACTACAGTGCAGTACCCCTATTCTTCAGTCCAGCCAAATCTCTTTTCATAACTTGCAAATAGAGAAAATCAGAAGACAGACCTACAAGCCCAATAATGACTTTTTAAAAATGAATTCTACAAAAGGAAGAAAAAATATTATTGTCCTCCTACCCTCCATACAATTATGCTGTGCTACATAAATTGCTTACCAAATAGTTTGTCATTATTTTCAACATTCAGAATACATAAACAGCTACCACTGCCTAAACATCTTCCTTACTGAACTTCAAATGTCAAAAGAAACACTGAGCTCTGGGAGAGTTATATTTTTAGACATAAACTAAGTTAATGGCATCCTTTTACCAACAAAGTAATTCTCCCATTTTCTACATAGGGAATCCATGGACATCCACTGACCCAATCTTGCACAAAGGACCAGATTTTGCAGTTGCTGATAGGATGTGAAATTCTTGCCAGAAATCAAATCAGAAAGTGATGGGGAAAGAGCAAGTGTGTAAGAACCATGTAGGAGATGGAAGAAAGGAAAAAAACTGTACTAGGAGCTAAAGGAAATGGAAGAGTAATCTGAGAAGGGGAATTAGTGTTGTTAGATATTTGTAAGGTAGAGGATAGAATAACTAATTGCAAGGGGAGGAAGGGAAGGCTGAAAAGAAAGATCAGCTGCAAAAAGCTATTGCAACACAAAGGGAAAGTGTTTAGCAACTCCAGGTTTACATAACTGTTTGAACTTGTATTTGGTTTGGGTTTGTGGGTTTGTTTGGGTTTAATTTTTGTTGTTTAGTTTGGGCTTTTTTGCAAGAATCCGCTTTATTTTCACAGGAAGTGGGAGGCGAGTAAAAATGAACTCATAGTCCAAACTAGGACTTTATGCCAGGTTAAGTTAACAAGGAACAGGCTACATCCTTTCACAGGCTCATAGGCCTTTAATTCAACCCACAAATCCAACAGAGACCAGGGATTTTTCTGTGTTTTTTGTTCTGCCATCTCACACCTAGACTATTCAGTTGAAGATATCTTCAACTATCATCCAGTCCAACTGCCCAACCACCTCAGGGCTGACCAAAACTTAAAAGACTTCCCTCTCCACTTCCCAGTCTCAGGAATCTACAGAAAGTGATGAAGTCACCCCTCAGCCTCCTTCTCTCCAAACTAGACAGTAAAATTACTTCCATGACAGTTTCAGTGTCTACTGCTCACACTGTAAATTTAAAAACATAAATTGAAGAAATATTAAATATGTCAAAATACAAACATGAAAATAATTATACTGCTGACAATAATTATTTAGCTATCAAATGCACGAATACAAAAAAATAAAATGCTGACCATTACATGCACCACCAGTTTTACACAATTTCCCTGTTCTCAATCTCAGCCTTGTTCTGTGTTCCTCCTTGTACCCTCTACATTTATTTTTCTAGTTTTTGCCTCATAAAACCAGTTAAATCAACCCAACTGCTAAATCCACTCTATATCAGATATAAACACCAATGACACAAATATGAGCATCTGCTTCCAATTTATCTGTTTGATGTCTCCTACTAGTTCAAACAGTGAGTTGTGTAGATTTAGCTCTGCTGAGTTTATGAATTGTAAAATTAGGCTTAGCACTACATTGAGCCTGATGTGCCTCTGCTACCAAACAACATTTATTATTTAAATAATTCCAGCATCTCAGCTCATAGTCACAGAAGAGATAATTCAACTGACAGCATCTTGATTAACACAACTATAATAAAGGTAAGAAAAGGGTAGTAAAAATAAATCAATCAGCACATGAAGTATTACAGTTCCAGTAAAGTACTGTTACAGTTACATTACATACTTATTTTCACTTTCACAAGATCTGTCCAAGTCAAAAGAGACAATCCATTCTAACAAAGAACTCCCATTCCAACAAAGCCCCTCAAGTTGTTGCTTGTCTTCTACTTGCCACAAACATGAATCAACAGCATCTGACCACTCCTGATCTAAAACGCATAAAGGACATACTTTGTGTTATTCAATAAACCAAGTCACTGTGCTATTCCCTCCATGTTACACTAAAACAGTTACCAAAAAGGCTGTTAACTGAATATTGCCTCTTCAGCCCTACCCTGCTTTCCACCTAACTTTGAGCACTTGACTAAGAACCACAGGAACTTCTGTGAATTTTACAGATGCAAGCCACACCCTGTACTGGTTTTGGCTGGAACAGCAATAAAGTTCTCCACAGTAGCTCATACTGGGATACTTTGCACATTTCCAACCTATTCGCTGGGAGAGCATGATGAGGAATAGAAAAGGCCCTGACAGTGTTTAAGCACTGTCTTCAACAGTAGCTAACACATCAGTGAGTTATCAACACTAGTTTCAGCACATATCCAAAACATTGTCCCAGATAAGGTATTATAGAGAAAATTAACTCTATGCCAGTCAAAACCAGTACAAATTTTGGCTAATTCAAATGCAGAATACACAAATTTTTTCCCACTTCAGAATGCAGACCAGGTGACAGGACCACGTATTACTTATCTACTGCAGAAAAACCAGGGGTCAATTTTCTTATTTTTCTGCACTTTTGCAAATAGGTGTAAGTATGGACTAAATCCACAGAAAGCATATAAGCTACAAGATACCAGTGAAAACTATTGCTACTGCAGAGCCTTTACTACCTTCTAATCTGGTCTTTCATACCAGCATGCAAAAGTAGAGCTAGAGAAAACAGGAGTTTCCATAAGAACACATTACCCCAGGAGTTCAAAGTCACTAATGGTGTCAGGAGGAGAAACAGCAATTGCACAATGATGTCAAAAGCAACCACAGTGCTTCTATTTCAATACATTCAAGTACCAAAGCACAGCAAAATGAATACATTCATAATTTATCCAGACAAACTTTACAAGCTTCTCTTCAAAACTTAAAAAATGACTGCCAAACACAAGGAAGCATCACATAACAAGACAGGCACTGCCTTTTGCTTCCATGCCTGACTGCCATTAACTTCTGTTTTATTACAGAAGCCAAGTAACTTCTCTGTGTACCTTCATTTTCCTATGAAAACATTTGTTTGGGTATTTTTTGTAGAAGCTGTTCAAACTTGTCTATCTTGCACCTGGTCCATACTGCATTGTGTGAAAATATATATTAACATTCCCTGCCTTAAGCTCTCCTGTTTCCCTTAAGCTTTCCTCTGGTTTATGGCAAGGATACAACAGTAACAAGACCCAGTTATTAACTAATGTGAGCTATACAGCGATCTTGCTGAGGCAGACTACATTTAGGGTGCTTAGTCAACCACTGCCAAGCTTGGCTGACCATACAACAATAATACAGTGGTCCATTTAAAAACTCAGTTCCCAGTAAAACCACAGCCCCTAGGCCAATTTTCAAGGGATTTGGTTTTTCTACTATGTATCTCCCCTTCACAGTATCTTTCACAAAGGTCTTCCATACTAAATCTTTTACAGAGGTGCACAAAATCACATTTAAAAAATATAACTACCATTTTTTCTTATTTAATAATGCAGGAACAATTCTCTGCCACAGACTGTTCAGTAACAAGGCCTACATATATTCTTATTCTTCTGTATTTCCCATGAGCCCCATGGCAGAAACATATTCTTCTTTGTTTTGGCATAGAAACTCAGTGACAAGAAGTCTACTTTAAAAAAATAAGCAACTTTCAATTCTGAAAGCTGAACAACAAACAGCTTTAAGGAGTCAGGATTTCCAGCTAATATTAACAGTTCTCTCATTTTATCTTCTGCATCCCTAAGAAGTTCTCAAGATCTATTGCAAAAACTATGTGGCAGATATATCTACTAAAATAGACAAATTTTTATTCTATTTTAGTATAAGCTACTTACTGCACTCTACATCAGTTGCTATCATATGGATATTCAGGATAATACAGCACTTATATGCAGAAAGAACTGTGCTCTGTTCTGCTGTTCAGGCAAGTAGTTTTTCTGCTTAACTGTAAAGCAAGAATTGTAATCTTATGAGCCCAGACATTTGATATCATGACCACAAAATAAGAGCAGCAAGTCTTGTTCTAAATTACTACCCTCCATGCTACAAGAGAATAAATCCACCTTAGGTTCAGACTTCTGCAGAACACAAGTAGTATTCTCAGCCCTCCAATATTGTAAACACATTAATTTCCAGGTAACTTTCTGTAAGAAATGTCACTTTGCATCTGATATGCTGCAAAGAGAAATTCACCTTAGCATAAGCACTAATGCTTCCACAATCCCACTTGTTCACAGCTGAACTCACTACTCAACTCTTTCCTACTGCACCATGTCCCAGCTCTGGTTCTGTGGTGACAACATAGACCAAAGCATCAGTGACATTATTTCAGATTAATCTGCTACCACATATTTACTGCACTGCTTCAGTAACCTTAACCAACAGCTATTGCAACAGCAATCACACAAATTTTACAAAATGTTCTTGTCAAGCTGAATTCTACCACACTGCTTGCCCCATCCAGGCATCACTCACTGGTCATCACAGAAACCACCATCAGAAAGCAGGAGCTGTTTTTTCCATGAGACACTTAAAATCTACTTTCTCTGTTTTCCTCCTGCTGTAGTCCGAGACTGAAAATGCAACTGAGAAACCACAAGATGTGTGATTCTACTCAGCAAAAGTCATCACTGCAAGTGGTAATGTTAGATTCCGGCCCACCTACCTTATTAGCAGAAACAAGAACCACTGTTCTCTGTGTTTCTCCCCTAAATTAGCCCTTCAAACCATGGATCACTATCAGACTTGAGCCTCTTATGAATGTCAAGTTACCACTCCTGTATGCACAGACTTTGTTGTCTGAACTCCAAGTTTGGTGGGACTGGTTTTGGGGGTTGGGCAGAAGGAGTAGAGAGGAAGGAGCAAGGAAGAAGATAAGAAAGGTGGAAATGCAAAGCAGCTCTGATGCAATTACCACATTAGCTCCTATGCAGCACTTTGACAGCAGAGCTTGCTAACAGCTGGAAGCACAGACAAAGCAAACTCTTTATTTTAAAGTTTCAGTACAGGTTTGGGGAGCTAGGGACGGGGAGCACTCAGCAGATGAAAGATACAGGAATCAAAAAAATCAGCAGCTGTTTGCACACAAAACTGATGCAAGCATGGAAAAACAAATTTCAAAGACCCAGTCATCTAAATGTAACAGGCTATGAGAATTTTTTAATTTAGCAAAGGCCTTCACAAAAGATAGCTATCAAGCTGCCACCGGAGCTGCATTTCTCATCAAGCATCAGAGGAAACAAGGGGCAGTACAAAATTCTTTAACCAAGGATAAGGGGTGGAGCTACACACAAGTTTGTTTCTTTCAGGCATAATCAAGCAGCATTGAATATCCTAATTTGCTCTGAAAAAACAATGAATAGTTCTATCTTATATTGCTCACTAGTCATTTATTGGCACAACAGCTGAATGTACCTTGTACTGATTAACAGTTTGACCTGCAACAAATGCTGCTCCAGAGGAAACTGAAACAAAGAGAAGGATATTCAAGATACCAGTTTAAACAATCAACAGTTTATATTCTGGCTGCCTATTTCCTGTAAGGAGCATGTCACACCCATCACCAAGGCACTCAAGTTCCCTGCTATTTAAGTCCCTGTCTTCTACCCCTTGCAAACAATTGCATGCACTTAAGAATTGTGGAACGAGGTAGGAGTGAAGCAAAAGCCAGCTAGTTTAAGTAGGAAGTTCCTCTAAGGTACTTTTTTCTCCTCTACAAGGTCATTATCGTCAAAGAAAGGTATCCCTTTTCTCTCTGCAGAGCACTGCTGTTCACGGGATTTTTAACTGACCTAATGACTGACTGAGAATTTTGTAGCGCTGGGGGGAAAATCCTACTTCCATCTTCAACCAACAACTTCTCTCTGGTCCTACCACAATAGGACACATGCATTCACTGCACTTGGGGCTATGCTCAAATTCTGCCACACAACTGAGTATCTGGTATACGCAAAACGACCAAGTTCAAACCATATGTGCCTTAACGTTAGACTAACTAGAAGGAGGAGAGATAAGAAGCAAGCAGCTGAAGCTCAAACACTCCAAAGACTTGTGCAAGCTTGGCAATGCTTGGTGTGACACCATGAGTTATGATACATCAGCTACTAAGTGTTGCTCCACTGTGCAGGGACTTGGACATCTTCATCGCAGTAACTAAAATACACTTACTTGGGCTAAACACTGCAGAGAAGGCTAGCTCTACAACTAGGACATCCATAAGCTATAAAACATGGCTTTGCAACATAAACCCCTTTCACAACTTTCTAACTGCACTTTTCCTCTCTCTGCTTAAATCCCAGACAATGTTCTTGAGATACTGCTTGACAGCTTTCAAAACTCTAGGTGGGATAAACCTCTGTGTTTTCTGGGCATACAGAGAAATTCCTGTTGCAACTCTCCACACTCTTTCTGTCTGTGCTCAGTATATAGTCTAGAATTGGTCTATGGAAGAAGGTTGAGTGGTACAGAATGCAGTGGATTCACTCTTAGAAAAAGCATGAACATGGTTGGGGTGTTCATGGGTGTTCATTTCAATGCAATTTAATGTTTACATGACTTGCGCCAAGCATGCATCCCTACAGACTAATCAAGCTGTTCCTCCTGTAGGCTACAGAGGAAGGAAAAGGTAGTCTCTCCTCCATTCAAATATTTTGGAACTATTCAGACGCTATGGCAACAACACAAAAAAAAATTCCCTAAACGGATTTGTTTATCAGAGAAAAATGTTTCAACAGCCTGCAATATCACTCATATACCGCGTCCATTTTAGACATTATTCTATTTAGCTTTTGCAGAAATTGTACAGAGAAAAATGCATATTTATGGTATTATTTGCCTATTTTCTTTACCTTAAAAACAGTAAGAAAAACCCACCAAACCAGTGGTCTCAGCTGCCAGTGAAGTTGTTCCACTGTTGCAAACAAACTCTTCACAAACATACTCTGACACTTTAACCTATCCAGTAGGGTTTTAACACCCTACTGCCAGAAAGAACTGCAGCATCCCTCTCAAACCAAGGAACAGCCACATTAGTTTCTCTTATACTGTACCTTCTAAAGCAGAGAGAGGAGGCCTGATATTCTGGGAACCTTTAGAGGCAGCTGTCCCTGCCTGGCTCTTCCAAAGAGGGAACTGTTCCCCCAGCTCTTGAAGCAGAAGCTATCCTTTCATCCAGTTCTGCTCATGTTATACCTCTTGCAATGAAAACCTCCTGCCCACACAGAGGAAAGTCTTAGCAGCAAAAGGCACACAGGAAAGAAAAGCATTTCAGCTTCAACACACTGCAACCTGCCAGCTCCACAATAGGTCAGCAGTCAGAAATAACTAAGCACCAGGGTTTCACTATCTTAAGCCTAGGATTTTGAACATTTCCAGCCCCTTCATAACTCTCTCACTCCCTCTGTTTTTTAGCTGCAAGTGGGAGAGAAAGAGAGAAGGAGGAGAATATCCAAAGCCCTGGAAGATAAACCATAAGACAAGGGGAAAAAAAAAAACAAAACTGGCAACTTTAACTGAGGATCCCTGCCAGAGATGGGATAATAAAAGTTGGCTGGTGAAAAGCACATTCCCACATCAGAAGTGATGCTAGTGGCCTCAGAAAGCTGAAAGCCTAGAAAATTACTTTTTCAATCCTCTACTAGGTGTAATGGAGAAAAAATGTGCAGCTGCACGAGAAAGGTTCATTAGCCTACATCAAATCAAGCACAATCCTTTCCTCACATCATCATCATCTTTTCTCTAGGATCCTAAGAGGTTGCAGGAGAGAGACTAACCATTACCCACCCGAGACCACGAACACCAGAATTCCATGGGGACACAGCCATCCACCTGAGTCTCCCAATTTCAATGAGGGTCAATCACCACATTAAAAGACAAAGAAATGAACTGAAGTGTTGGGAGAATTAAACCCTGATCGCCAGGGAAAACAGACTTAACAAGTGTGCTTCATTAGCATTAAGGAATGGTTATTGAATTCCCAAAGGAGCAGAATCTCAGTCACACCAGAAAACTGATTCCAATCACTACAGAAAGTCTGCCATTAATTTCTCTTATTACTTTTTTGCAATGCTTAAATGCCAACCCAGTAACTCAAACTATCTCGGCACTCTTTCACCAGGGCTCAGACTCTGATGGGACCAAAAGGTCAGTACTGCAACAGGGCATTTGAACATCATGTTGGAAATTTAGCTATACTCAAAGCTGGAATTAAGTCTAAGGGTGACACAATGTTCAGCCTACACAAAACAACTACCAGCATAATAAAATCTGCTAATTCGTATTCTGTGGTGAAGGAACAAAGGAACCACGGTGCAAAACCTTCTGATATTACTATGTACAGCTGTGGGAAAGGGAAGGTGAATGTTAATATACTGAATGCATGTTATGCCAGCATAATTCACTGCCAGAGAATAAAAACTACAACACAGCATCAAGCTGTGACTGTGATTTGACACCACAGGGAAATACAGACTGATTTTATAAAAACAAAACAACAACAGAAAAAAACCCATTTTTTAACTTGAATTATCATTAAAAAAAGGTTAAAAATTTAAATTAGCTTCCATTTAGAAAGAGACTTGTGTCCTACTCAAAGTCTAAGAGAATAATTCAATTAAAAGCATTCAACCAACACAAGCTCACTGCTAATGCCAGATGATTTGCTCATCACCTGGAAAAAGAACATAGCATCAATGATAAAACAGCTTTTGACATCTGCAGATGCACAAAGAGAATTTTCTTCAGCTCAGCTAAAAAAGTGTTTCACTCACTGAGAAGCCTGCTGGGAGGAGAGGCTAGGAAGATCTGTCCTTCCTTTTTAATCAATGGAAAATAACTCAGTTATAAAATAGAGCCATGTTGGATCAGCACTACTCTGGTTTTAGTTTTTAGAACTCTTTCATCCACTAGTAAAATCCAACATTAGATTTGCCAATTGCAAAAACTACCTTATTGCTGAATTTTAAATCCATCATACCATTAAACTTGTGTTAAGAAAACAATCCATCACACCATCACTTGTGTTAAAGAAAACAAGTTCACACTTAGGCGTATGTATATATATATATGCAAAAACCCATTTAACAGTATTAAACTAGAACTGTCTAAACAATGTGTAGATATTAAAACTCAATTTTCTGCATTTTTATTTAAATTATCTGGGAACTAAGCGTACAGAAAAAGGAAATTCACCATTGTCAGCACAACAAAAGGTAAAGTTTCAAAATCTGAGTAAGCTCCATAACCACCAAAGCATGCATGTATACTTGCAACTACCAGAAGTCCTGACACTGCATGCAAATGCAGCTGTCAGCTATCACTGACAAAGACTTTTTCCGAAAACAAATGTAAAACAATATTAAAACCAGTTATCAGATCAGTATTTCTTTTCTCTCCTGATTTAAATCACAATTAAAATAATGAGTTGACTAAAGCTATCCCCTTCTCAAATCTGAATTCTAATTGCAGATGGCTCTATTTTTTAGAGCACACATCCTGCACACATCAATGGTCAGACTGAAAGACGTCAGCATCATGGTACATTTCATTTCATCTATCTGGACTGATCAGCTCAGCCTTCAGAAACAGCCAGGGGAGGGGGAAACACAAACTGTCTGGCAAGAGTCATAAAGAACAATTTTCCACAAGCCCACGTTTGCTTTTCATCCA